CAGATAAAGAATTAAAACCTTTTGCTGCTGCTAGGATTGCTGCTGCAGTAGAAATGCATGCACCCAATAGGAGATGGCAGTTTGATGCAACACTCAAACTTCTCTGTTTAGCCGGTAAGTATAAATAAATAAATATATAAATAGATAAATAAATAAATAAATAAATAAATAAATAAATTAACAAATAAATAAATAAATTAGTAAATAAAATAATAAATAAATAAATAAATAAATAAATAATTATTTAATTAGTTACAGATAGATGGAGACAACAGCAAAGCCAGAGATGGATACGTCTCTCGCTATATATTACTAATTGTGTTTTATTTCTGTTTTTCTTTCTCTCTGTCTCTTTCTCTTTCTGTCTCTGTTTATTTGTCTTTGAATCTCTTTCTGTCTCTTTGGCTCTGTCTCTCCCTCTCTCTATGTCTGTTTATATATACATATACATGTAAGACATATATACATACATATATCTATATGGAGAGATGCGGGGACACTACATATATATATATATATATATATATATATATATATATATATGTCTCAGGCCACCACCTAGAAGACCCCACAGAGAATAATTTGCTGCTGCTGATAACGCAGACACCGCAGCTGCAGCCGTATGCAGTACACAAACTTTTCTTTTGTCTCCGCGAGGGAAACGCCAACAACCCAGTACTAGCAAGGGTATAAACCCTAAACCCTAAACCCTAAACCCTAGATGCTTGCTCCTAAACCCTAAACCATAGATGCTTGCACCTAAACCCTAAACCCTAGATGCTTGCATCTATACCCTAAACCCTAGATGCTTGGACCTAAACCCTGTAAACCCTAAACCCTAGATGCTTGAAGCTAAACCCTAAACCCTAGATGCTTGAAGCTAAACCCTATAAACCCTAAACCCTAGATGCTTGAGCCTAAACCCTAGACCTTTTGCGGACGCCAAAGCCAGGAAGCCGCGCCCCTCACTGTTGCATACTTTGAGGTAAACATCGTCGCTTAGGGCTTAGGGTTTAGGGTTTAGTGTTTAGGGTTTGGTGGGTGGTGTGAGTGCAGACGGCGCTGTATTGCGTGGGGGAGTTTGGGGAGCTGCTGACTGCAGCAGACAAGTCTCATTTGCTGTCGAGCCAGCAGCAGCTGCTGCAGCAGCAGCTGCAGCAGCAGCAGCAGCAAGATCCTGCTGCTGCTGCTCTTGCATTAACTGCTGCTGATGTTGTTGATACCCTCGAGCACATCTGCCGCGCGCTGCATGGAGGCCAGAACAGGGCCGGGAGGAATGCAACAGCAGCAGCAGCAACAGCAACAACAGCAGCAGCAGCAGCAGCAGCAGCTGCTGCTGCTGCTGCTGCTGCGAGCGGCTCCTCTGGTGTTACTGAGTCCCTCATGACGTGCCTAGCGAAGCTTGCTGCCAAGCTGCCTGAACAGGTGAATAGCAGCAGCAGCAGCAGCAGCAGCCGCAGCAGCCGCAGCAGCAGCAGCAGTAGCAGCAGCAGCAGTAGCAGTAGGAGCAGCAGTAGTGCCAGCTCTGGGGTTTTTGTCTGTCTG